CCGCGTTCGATGTCTCTCGGACGGCGAAGATTCTACGCCGTCCGGCCAATCACGTTCCATAACCGCAGCCGAGCCCCCGCTAACCTTCAACGGGATTGGCCGGACGACGTAGAATCTTCGTCGTCCGAGAGACATCGAACGCGGGGTTAGACTTCAACTTATCAATTTGTTTTTAAATTCATTATCATCAAAATAGCAAAACAAAGCCTACGATATTTTAAAAATTAATGATAAAAGATATATAGGAAAAATATTTTTGTTGAGTTTTTACAACGTAATGTTATCGCTATTCAGACAAGAATCTGTCGGTTCTGTAGTAGCGCGTCCTCTATATACCGATGACAGCGACATCTGTCAAAAGGTGAAGCGACACCGCTGCTCCCAGGATCTATATATATGTCATATACGTCATATATACAGTGCTCCCAGGGGAGCACACCCGTGGCCGGGTGCAGTCAGTGCTTGGGGGGCTAATAGGCCTATCCTCTGAACGGGCTCAGCCCCGGCGAATCACTAGGATGCCTGCCTAGACCAATGGTAGCCCGGGATGGTGATGGACTGGCCGGCAGCCGGCTGGACCTCCTGAACAGCGGCAACGTCCGTCTTAGTGGTAGAGAGCCAGCGGTGGAACTCATCCCTCTTGGGGCGTAGTCCTTCCGCGTTCCAACTCGCGATGAGTAGTCGGCTTCTGTTCTGACGGTTCAGACGGTACCGTCTGTTCTTGGCCCGCCTGCTGCGGCCCCCCCAGGCTCCTCGCGCGCCGCGTCCGGTCGAGCCCCCGCCATCGGCGCTCATGGCGGGGGACGCTGGGTTCACTTAGTTAGGCGGACCGAGCCGCGCGCGCGCGGCCGGTCCGCAGGTGTTGCCGAGGTCGAGTCGGTCGAGTAGGTCGAGTGTCGAGCCGGTAGGTAGAGCAGCTGAAGACGACGGCCGGTGGCGCGTCGGCCACCGGCATCCGCCCTGGAGGGGCGGTTGTCCCCCGTTTGGCTGGCTCGGGCGCTGTCCACGCACCGAGTCGGGGCGAGGCCCCACACCGTCCACCACTTGAAGGCGGGGGACTCCAGACGGCAGTAGAAGCTGCTCGGCCACTGCGCCTTGCGATACATTACACCAGTCTTTAGTCACTTTATTCCAGTATCCCCCATCCTAGCTTCCTCTCAACTCAACTCATAGCCGTTAATTGTCAAATCGTGTTTTAATGAGGTCCAAGAGAAATCAACGAAATTAGTACCTATACGAAGAAACACTGAAAGGTTTAAAGATATCCTGTATTTCGTTAGAAAAAGTACCTAGGGACTCATGGGAAAGAACTGAAAATCATAAAATCAAAATGAGCTTCGCGTCCATCGTTCAATAAATTGATGTCTATGCACTTGAGGCGAACGGCCGCAGCTTAACAAGTTTGTGAAATTTTTCATAAAGTTAGCTATTCTTCATCATGACATGTCTCAGGACTGATAATGACGGTTCAGCATGGTAGTCCTTCAAGTGCATAACACTCAATAGGCTAGTTATAGGCGATCCTTACTGCCGTTCAATGTAGATGTTCATTGTTCATGCATTACATTCATTCCCAGGAGCGGTAAATCTGCCCCTGCGCCAGTACCGCGTCCATCGTGCCGTCCGCTGCGGACCATGGCCGGCGTCTCTCTCACTGACGTCCCAGTACGGTCAGTTCAACTCTTCAGGTTGGTACTGATGGTGATGAGCCGCTTGGTCTTCCCGCCTGGCTTTTTGCCTCGCCCCGACCCCTTCCTCCTTCCGTTTTGTCCCGTGCGCTCTAGGTACGTATCAATAAACTGACGGGTAGGGTTGGCGACTGCTGCGGCCGCGCAGGCGACCCCACTCCCACTCAGTTCTCGGCCGTCCATGAGTCGCGTGGGCATTCGGAGCGGACTGAGGGCAGGACGCTGCCACGCGCCGCCGCCCCCGCACGGCACTGTCGACGGCCGGAGGGGGCGCACGGGGCGACACGGCGACCAGGCATCCTTCAGCGGGCGGCGTGGCGAGCGGCGTTCCCTGCGCCGGTCGCCGCGTGCCCCGGCCACACACTCGCCCGGTGGTAAAGGATCTGGAGGTGGCGGTGGCGGCGGGGGCGGAGGACGACAACGCATCACTCGCGTCATCTTGCTGCGCACGCGGCCCGGCTCGACGAGGTCGTTCTTTAGCACCAGCTCGCGGATGTTTTGCGTGCGCAGGAAGTCGTCGGTGACACTCTTGATCCAGCGTCGGGGGTCCCTGGCACGTCGCTCGTCGGCTGGCGCGTCGTCACGACCGTCGCACGACTCGGCTGTGCCGGTGCTGACTGTGAGAGAGGAGATCTCGGCGTCCAAGAGGTCCTCAGGCGGGCCGCCGCCACCGGCGCCCGCCCGCAGCTGCTCCAGCAGTGAGTCCTGCTGAGAGGACAGGCTCATCTCCGCGCCGTCCTGCTGCTGCTGCGCCTGGGGCGGCGGCGCGCCGACCTGGCCGCTCACCGCCCGCAGCATGGCTCGGCAGCAGCGGCACTGGCCGCACGGCTGGTCCGCCGTCTCACTGCCGCCCCAGTCGGCCGGCCCGCCGCGCCGGTCGCCGTCACTGTCCCACGAGTCCCAGCCGCCGCCGTCGTCCCTGTACTCGTCGTAACCGTGGTCGTCCCACCTCTCCTCGTACCTCTGCTGATGACCACGTCCCCTCTGAGGTTCCTCTCTGTACCCTGCGCCGTCCCAGTCGGGCGGCCGGCCCTGTCTCCCTCCGCCGCCCGTCTGCCGCTGCTCCCACTCTGCAGCGGGCGGCGGCGGGGCGGTCTGTGTGGCCGACTGACGCTGCCCCATCACCCGACCCGACTCGGTGACGGTGATGGCTGGCACCTCGGCGGGCTCACTGTCACTGCCCCCGGAAGGGTTGTCGACCACCACTTGCTGCTGGTCACCGTATTTGGCCTTCAGCTGATCAGTGATGCCCATCTCATCCATCTGGCACGAGACGCGTCGCAGCCAGTCGAATACGTCCTCACCGCCTTTTCCTCCCTCCGCGGCGTCCTGGCCGCCACCCGGCACTCCAAGACGGACGCTCTTCCCGCCGGGCGGGCTCGCCTTCCCCTTCTTCCCCGTCGAATCCGACGAACCTCGCGTGTCAGCATCGGCGTCGTATGTGCGGTCTCCTCTCGTACCGACGGCGGCGCCCGGTCGGTGCTCACGCCGGCTAGCCTCCACTGAGTCGCGCGAGCCAGGCTCTGTGGTGGCTGAGCCGGCCGGCCCGTCGGTACCAGGTGAGCTGGTGAAGTCGGAGAGGTCCTCGGCGCCCTGCAGGCCGTGGTCGCCGGCGTCGAACGGTCCCAGGTCGACGGCCAGCTGCTCGTCGTCCTGCAGCTCGAATCCCTCCTCGTGCAGGTCATCAGGCGGAGCGCCGTCCGTGTCTGACGCAGAGGCGCCCGGGTCGGCGGGGGCCTTCTCGGAGAGATCTGCGGTGAGAAACATGCATGGTGATTGGTGAGGACTGCGACTTACGGGAAAACAAACTGGGAAATAGAGCAGTCGCCAAATCACAACTACACCACGTGCAATTTAACATGATAGGCGTCAGGAAGGTGCAAAAAAAAAAAAAATCAAGCGAAATGAGCAGCAAACATCAAAAGAAGGATAAATTCAATTTATCTTGGCGACTTCAAAAGGAGTGAGCAAGCCTACAAACCAGTAACCGCACTCTTGAGAGTTGAGAGAAATGTCTGAATCGCTTACCAGCTCCTACTGGCACAGTATCATGACTGCCGCTCAACTGATGCTCCTCCTCTCCATGTTCCTCCTCATCACCATATTCCTCTTCGTCTCCTTGCTCCTCTTCATCTCCCTGCTCCTCTTCCTCCTGACCCTCCTCCTCCTCCCCGCGGTGCTCCTCGTTGTCAGCATGTCCTCCTCCGTCGGTGACGGTTATCTGACTGCCCGCCAGCTCGCTGTCCTCCTCCTCCTCCTCCACCGATCCGGGCTCCTCCCGGTCCTCTTCCTCCAGCTCCTCGTCATAATCTTCCTCCACAGGGTCCCGTGAGCTGCCCTTTCCAAGCATATCTTGCTTCAGCGGAGAAATCTAGCGGGGAAATGTGAGTGAGACGGGAAACAGCACGGAACTTAACGCCGGAAAACATAGGTTCTGATAGGGCACTCTCAGTCGAATTTGAAGTCACATAAAATGCCCATCAGTCCCACGGAACCAAGAATTACATTGGGTAATACACAGCCGTTGCACGTGTGAGACAAATTCAATCCACCTCAGCCAATGAATCGTGACATACTGGGTTAGGACACTTCCCGAAATCTTACCGCAGTGCTGAAGCAGGAACGACTCCCGCCAGCCCTCACCTTGCTGTCGCCGGTGATGGACGCCCTGACGCTGCGTCTGCGCTCCGCCGCCTCCCTCGCATCGGCAATCTCTGTCGCTCTCTTGACGATGGCTTGCGTCAGCGTCACAGCCACGCCCGCCAGGTCCTTGGACGCGGTGGTAGTGGGCCCATGGCTGCCGCTGCTGCCCTCCGCGCTGGCCACCGATGAAGAAGAATCCAGCTTGGCGCAGATGGTTCTCAGTTGGGTATTCTGTATTCTTAGGTTGCTGTCAGCTTTTCAGGGAAGTGTCCGAGATTTGGGCATTTTAGCTTGACCTACATGAGCTAGGGGTGATGATCAATTCGTGGTCGTTCGTTTCGTGTTACCTACTGGGCATTTGATGTGTTAAATATTCTATTCGCTGGTTTGTAACCTACAGTTAAAATTTGAAGACTTCAAGACACTCGATGAAGGCCTTGCAATCGATAATGTGCTGGCATTGACGTGATACGCTACGTCCGATTCGTAAGCTGCTGAAGAACTGCACCTCGAATTTTGCCAACGGATATGTCACGTGCATTTCGTGAACAATAAGTTCTCTTCAGACGAAACGTCAGCCATGGCCCAAAAACCCACTTTTCATAACTTTCAACTTCACACGAATGCTCGACTTTTCCATCCGCACGGTCCGAAAAATCTACTGAACGGTTGGCGTTCGGACTGTGTTTATTTGACATCAAAATACGCACGTCACTCTCACACCTACATACTGAACGGGGCGGATCGCGCGCGTCGAACGACACAAGAGAACACAGTGTGCAGATAGCCGGAAACGGTGAGCGAAACAGCGGCCAAACGCTGACGTAGCGACGGTGCGGCTGCGGCAGCCAAGCCCCGACCGAACCCTGTCCGACTCGCGCGGAAGAACTAACGCTCTAGGCACTTAACACGCGCCTCGTTTACAAATGTATCAACACACATACGCTCAGCCAAATCATGCTGAGCCCGACATACCAAAAATGGAAAATTGATAATGTAACGGACTAACCAACAAAACACGAAACCGACGCCATCACTAAATATAAACTCTCTCGCTCACGAAGGGACGGCTGGCTGCCGTTCGCCGTAAAAAGTGCAGCTCCACAGCGCCAGAAGTCGTGAGCCTGTCATAAAAAGACGAACACATTCAAATGATAATGACGAAGCCTGAATAGAACTCAAATGCTTAATGGTCCAAAAGTACTAATGGCCAATCTTTGTCACGAGCTACGATAACGGTGCCAGCGCGACCACCGGAGATCTCTTCTGGCGGCGCTCGACGTGGCGGTATGCATATGTGTGTGGAATATATGTATGTACAGGCTCGCCCAGACAGGAATGACATGATCTGGCATGATCGGGAGGCGTCACGCCCCGGCAGCGGCGCCGGAAACAATCATAGCTGCACAGAAACACTGCCAGGCGCAGCCAGCGACCGCGCCGCGAGGCCGGCACGGGTACGGCAGAAGCGGTCGGTAAAATAGCGCACAGGAATGCTATCGTTCTTTCTCTCTCTCTCCGCGTCTTCAGATCCCGGGGTAGACGCTTCGTCTCAGATCCTTCATCTCAGATCTTAGACGTGACATCAGATCATCGGTGCCTCAGATCAATCAATCTCAGATCTAGTGATGGGACGCACGATCTTTCAAATCAGATCAGATCAGTTTTCTGGCCCCTCTGCGGCCCTTTCCTGTCCTTTCTCACCCCTCCGAACACCAGCACTTTCCCACCACGCCACGCAGCAGCACAGTCTCGCACGACTTACGCACGAAACGCGAGCGATTTCCGCACGATTTCCGCGCAATTTCGCGAGAATTTCGCCCTCTCCTGGTGCCCGCGAGGCCGGCAGTTCTCCCCGGAGACGTTCATCGTTCACTAGACGTAGGCGGCACCCGTGGGCGGCGAGCCTTTGCGCTTCTGTGCGCCGTACTGACCAATGAACGAGCCGTCCTCGGTGAAACGGCCTGTGGACGGGGAAGGAGAGTTAGTGAGGGAGCAGTGGCTGCAGCAGGCGGGGAAACGGGGCCGGCCGGTATGTGGAGGACTGGGTGACGAGCCGAGTAGTGAAGGGGAGAAGTAAAGAAGATGACATAAGCAAATCGGTAAGAAGAGACAAAACATACATAGAACAAACAACAGAACGGCGAATCAAAATCAACATGAAGATAAGCAACAATACAGGAACTTAACAAAATAGGATTGTGGTAATCGTCCACGAAACTCAACAAGACAAACATAAGTTAACGGCTATAGAAAACTAATTAATCAAAATATTAGGCAAATGAACACATATCTACAATTGCCTATTTAGACAAAAAAGTACATACTTTAATCAAGGGAGGTCAGGGGCGCGGGTGAAGAGACAGGAGCCGGGCGAGAGGCGGGTGGCGTGAGGTGATATGAGGAGGTGACGCAGCCGTGGAGTGAGTACGGTACAGGAGTAGGAGTGACTCTGCACAGAACAAAGCTGCTGAGGAGACCAGTTCCCGGTGACGGACCGTGCGAGGGACGAGGCGGAACAATCTGGGACGGGACACATAAAGCAGCTCAGGACGTGGGTACAGCTCGGGGACGTGCAGTCGGCAGCTACAGACCGTGCGTGGCGGCGGTGGCGGCGGCGGCGGCGGGCGGCTAGACGAAGGTACCGACTTTGTCGACGGCCGGCGGCGGCATCGGAGCACCGTGCTGCCTCCGACCGCGGCCGTACTGGCCGATAAACGAGCCGTCCTCGTTCATACCCTCTGCGACGGCGCGGCGGGGCCGGACCGTCAGTGGGACACAGCTGAGCCGTGAGGGGCGGAGCCGGACGGCCGGCGGGCACACAGACAGACAACGGAACCGGGCGGCGGCGGGACAACCGAACCAGGCGACCGGGGGCTCCGACAGGGTCGCGCGGGGAGCGACCCGGTGGAACAGTTCGCACCATGCAGTGGAGGGGTGCACGTGGGGAGGGGCGGGGCAGACTAGGTCATATGTATTGGGTCACGTAAACACGAACGGGCGTGGGGTGACGTGTCATCCACCAACAACGGAAAGGCACATCTAGTGATAAAAAGCGAGCTCGTGCACAAATATACTGAAAAGTGGACACAAGCATAATAAAAAGATTTATACTGTTGCTTAATTTATGAAACCAACTTTATATAAGGCATTAAAACTGCAACGTAATATGGTGGTAAGTTGACTGATCTAATAATACACACATAGAAAATATCATTCTACGGGTTAAAAACAAGCTATTTATCAATAACATGTATAAAACTAAATCCAATTATAAGCGCAGGCGGTAAAAATGAACAATCACACTCCAAGCGGTGACTGGCTGTATTCTAAGAGTGACCGGCAGCAGTGATTGGTGACCACCGGCGACTCTCGGCGCCCGCCGAACTGACCTGCCGGGTCGTCGCCGTACTGACCTGCCGGGTCGTCACCGTACTGACCTGCCGGGTCGTCACCGTACTGACCTGCCGGGTCGTCGCCGAACTGACCTGCCGGGTCGTCACCGTACTGACCTGCCGGGTCGTCACCGTACTGACCTGCCGGGTCGTCACCGTACTGACCTGCCGGGTCGTCGCCGTACTCTGCCATGGAGTCCGTGTCACTCTCGTGCGGGTGTTTGACGTCCGAGCTGACGCTGCCGCGACCGCCCGGAGGCATCTTCGCCTCCAGCGGCTGCTGGTACTCCTGCACACACGAGACAGAACGGAGGGAATGGTGCTCAGAGAAACACAACCGAACATCAACTGACGATTCAAATGTGGTCAGTTGTACTCCATCCTCTGAAGAAGGGAAAAATAATTGGTGGCCCTCTCCCAACAAATAAAATAAAATAATATAAAATAAAATGAAATAAAATAAAATAAAATAAAATAAAATAAAATAAAATAAAATAAAATAAAATAAAATAAACGAAACAGGATAACGCTCAGACACCTGAATCAAAACAAGAGTCCGTCTGCCTCCCTCCCTCTCTCCGCTCTCACCTGGAAGCCATCCTCCGGGTAGAGGTCTCCTCTCCCGTGCGCGATCTCGCGGTCCTGAACGTCGTATTTTCCTCCGCGGTTGCGGCGCACGATGCAGACCAGGACCAGGATCAGAAGCAGCAGTGCCACGGCCAGCATCATGGCGATGAACCAGCCCGAGGTGTGGACGGACTCGACGGGACGAGCGTACGGAGCGTTCGGAGAGTAGGTCTCCACCTGAGAGACGCGGGGATGAGCGGTGTTAATAGAATGGAGTACAAGATAGGAGTACAAGATTGACGTGATACTGATAACACTTAAATCATTTGACCAAATAATATTGACGTAATATTCAAAGGTAAAAATGAATACACACACAAATGCGCATACACCAAATTAACCACCATCAATCGGATGAATCTCTTGTCACCGTACGGAGCGTTCCCTCCCGTCCCCCGTTCACCCACCTCCTCAATATCCGAGGCCTGGTAGTAGACGCCGTCCACGGACACAGTCCTGATCTCGTACACCATTCCGGGCTCCAGGTCCCGCAGCACGATACTATCGTTGTAGTACTCGGGCGGGGTCTTCTGGAAGTCGCTCTCTCCGTGTCGGCGGTACTGGACGAAAAAGTGCGAGCCCGGCCGGCCCTGCGTGTTGGGCAGCCAGGTGATCTTCAGGTTGTTCCCCTCGGTGCCGTCGTCATTGGGCACGTGTGACCAGACCAGACTGGGACGGTCCGGCGGGCGGGGCATCGGGTCGCGCGTGGTGCGCTCAATGAAGTACCTGGAGGCATGGGCAGAATAAAGACGGGTGAGTTGGTGCAGGGTCATGTTTTAGGGCCTCGGTTCAGGGTCTCAGGTGCTCTAGGGGGTATCATAATGGGTGGAGGGCTGACGACTCTTACGCGGCTGGTGTTGCTGAATGAAGTAGTCGAAGAAGGTGCAAGCTGGTAAAATAAGGGAAATCCAAATCATGGACGACAGGGCTATAGTGTACGCCATAAATTGACAATTGACTCACCCGACCTCAGCTCGTCAGTGAGCAGCTTATATCTACTTAACGTTTTTCTCAGCTACCCACTACACCCCAGCCCATCTCCTTTCTCTAACCCCTCCTCTGCCCAACTCTCTCCCATCCCGATCCACTTACGCCTCTCCCTCTCCGGCGGCCGTCAGCGCGCGCACGTGGATCCGATACTTGGTCGACGGCTTCAGAGTAGCCAGCTTGGCCCGCGTGACGCGCGGATCGTCGATATGCGGCGTGCGGTCCAGCAGGGGGCCCATGGTCAGGTTCTGCACCGTCTGGTACTGGATCTTGTAGCCGGTCAGGATGCCGTTCGGCTCGAGAGGCTTCTTCCAGATGAGGAAGAAGGCAGATGAGCCCATCGGGATGGCCTCCAGAGAGTCCACGGCGCTGGGTCCTGCGGCACGAGCGGGAAGGAGTGAGAGGCTATTCCCGGGCCAGACACAGCCAGAGGCAGCTCTCTTGTGCCAAAAGTTCACGCGTTTCATAAAAAAACAGTTTGGTATTACATTGGATGCGCCATTGACGCGCGTCGTTTCAAACCATCCGTACTGACCAACATATTCACTCGATCTGTAAATCGACACCAGAGCAGATAAGGAAACTAATGGTATCAAGTAGGTCGTCAAGTAGGGTCAAACGTTATGTTTTCGCTCTAAATCCTGGCGATTATGCTAATTTGGTGTGGTGAGCGGTACGAGAAATGAAGGTCTTTCCGGTCTAAAATACGGAACGAGGGAAGAATGATAGGGCAGAAGTAAAACGACTATCGTAAAACACACATTGGTTGGAAAATAATCAAGATCCCTGTCAACATGGGAGGCATTATGGACTGGTGTACTTGCGGCAGGTCCGTCTGGTGATACAATCTAGGGCGGACCACTGACGCGAAAACTACCGGGACTAGCCACCACAGCCCACAGGGCGGGGTCAGCGCCTGCATTTCATAACATAAGAGTATCGGCAAAGTAGAACTTCTCGGTGATCAAGGACAAAATATCGGGAGAAAACGGCCTACATAACAGGATGTTTTTGAAAATCAGAAACCACAAGGACACTAAGCCAGTAGATGCAGCCCACTCACCATGACTACCGTGCCATGTCTGCACAGAACCCCTTCCGCTCCAAATACCAGTCCCACGGTCACCCCTTTTCCCATACTCACGTCCTTCTGGCGTGTTGAAGGTGATCACCTCGCTGGGCGGACCCTCGTAGGCCCGGTTGAACGCCAGAATCTGCACCTTGTTGCGCGCGTGAGGCTTGAACTTGTCCACCAGGCCCTTGGTGGCCGTCGACTCGAAGGACATTTTGCGCATCTTTTCGCGTCCTTCACTCTCCGTCCATGTTTGAATCTGAGTGGAGAAGCAACAGAGTGAACAGGACGAAACGTGAACAGAACGAGACTAGTGGAGGATAAACGATGATAAGCAGTGTTGAGCTACTCTACGGCATTGGTCGAGTGTCATGTTTGAAAAAGTTTTGAAAACATCGCCAACTATAACGCAGCAAATGCGCTACACGGGATGTTACACCCGCAAGGGGCCTCTCATTCACCCTTCTCTAGTTATACCATTCATGCACCCCAATTCCCTGTCACTCGATATCGAACAGGTTTATTTCCTGTACCCGTTGTAGCCATTAGCCACCCGCTCCCACTGACCCGGTAACCGAGGAACTCTCCGCGCAGGGTGCTGTTGTCCACCGGGTCCCAGGAGAAGGTGGCTCGCTTGCCGTCGTGGATCTGCACCAGACGGAAATTAGTTGGCGCCGCCGTCGGTACTGTGGGTAGAAGCGGCGGCGGTGAGGCGGGTTCGGGGGTGACGCCTAACACCGGTATCGAAATAGTACGAAAGTAATGTGTTCTTGGCGTATTCGGTCAACTAGTAAGTTGAGAGTGATAAACTGACAAAAGCTGACATATTTGACGAACATTGAATAATCGGGGCATTCCACAGATGCTCCAGAGCCGTTGTTCCTAACAAAAAAAAAAACGGTTTCAGTAAATATGCCAGAAGACAGGCTTACTCTATCAAAAGGTCACAAGAGCGGCTGGCTCACTGAGCTCACAATTAGCCCCTAGTTCGGTAATCAAAACTTTATCAACACCTCTACCATCCCATAGATCACGACATCGGTCCAAAGCACCCAACAAATGACACACCCAAACCAAGATCACTACATTTCATCACCATCGCTCTCCCAATTTTCCGCAGCCGCTCCTTATGACTCAACCACCCCCCCCCCCCGCTCCCACTGACCCTTAGGACCCTCCCCTCCCCTCTACATAGCGCTCCGACCGACCCTCGCACCACCCCCCCCCCTTCCCCTCCAACTGACCGTCCTCTCCGGAGTATCCGATCACCTCCACGGGCGAGACCTTGCTCTCGCCCAGCTCGTTCTGTGCCTCCACCCGTATCCGATACGGCACGTAGGTGGGTTGGTTGGGGATCAGCAGGTGGCTGCGGCGCCAGTCGGTCACCACCTCCTGGTTCCACTCGTCATCCGTGTCGTTACGCTTCCAGTAGACGCGGTAGCGGAACTTGCGCGCGTTGTGGTCGATCTCAGACATCGGCTGTGTTGGGACGGGAAGCGCAGGGTTTCAGTCAGTTAGTCAGTCACAAGAAGTGAATGTAAGCGGGATCCCTAGCGTTAGTGTTCTGAGAAATGACACTTTGGTATTGGGGTGTATAATTGGCAAAGATGGTAATATAGGGTATTGCGCATCAGCTTATCTTATACTCCGTTGCAGCGAGGGCCAGGCAGCAGCCAGGAAGAAGAAAAAAATGCAAAACATAAGTGATTTTCGTATTATCAATGTCATCAGTGTATCGAAATGTTGCTTAGCCCTATTACATAAAGTTCTATCGATCGATATCTGAATTTTGCCAGTATCCATGAGTACACCCTCTCATCCCCCCACATTCTCTCCCAAACGTCATTGAAGACAGTCAGTCTCCCTCTTTTCTCACTCACCGTCCAGCGGATAACCAGGTTGTCGGGCTCCGTGCCGCGACCCTCCACATTCTCCGGGTTCTTCTCGGGCAGATTTTTCGGCGTCGTGCACACCTCCGAGTGGCCGGACGGCAGGGACGGTCCCACGCGGTTGACGGCAATCACTCGGAAGGTGTAGTTGGACCACGGACTCAGCGACACCACGTAGCTGTTGTCGGAGCTCTTGGTCTCGGCCGCCTCCACCCAGGTGTCGGGGGTAAAGCTGGTGTTGTACTGGATTATGTAGCGCAGGATCGGCGCCCGGTTGTCGCCGTTCGGGGCCCACTCGACGTCGGCGCTACGCTCCCTGTTGGGCGAGTGGGGTGGACACACGTGGGTAAAGTTGGGGAATGCAGAATGAGGGCTTGGGCGGTCACGTGGATATATCACAGAGAAGTAGAGAAAGTGATGCAGTCAGTCACCCCCAAACTGACTCACAGGGCCTAGTAACATCAATTATTTAAGCTATCGGTACATTAAACCACAATATTCATCAATCCCAGTCCAGCTGCTTCCCGAACCCAACAAGACGTAGACGTTTTCATTCATGCAATCTGACTGGCATTTGTTCTAACTTTTGGAAAAAAAACGCATGCACACACAAACTCTGACAAATGACAAACAAACAAACAAACAAACAAACAAACAAACAAACAAACAAACGAAACTCTCACGCCACCAAATAGTTCCTCCAGTTTACCCCACATCCCCTCCCCCGCCACAGCCCGGCCGTCACTGCGCACCTGCAGGTGGCGTGTTTGAAGACGGGCGCGTTGGGTACGTCCTCGACCTTGAGCGTAGCGTTGGACTCTGCACTGTCCAGCTCCGTCGAGGCCACACATGTGTAGCGCTTCGAGTCGAGCTCGGTCGTCTTGGTAATGGTCAGCGAGTTGTCCGAGGTCTGGATGAACCTGCCGCACGCCAAAAAACAGGCGCAGTCAGTGTCAGGACAGGGAGACGGGCATCAAGCACTGTCACCGCGCATGACCAGTTCAGGACCAATAATGAAGCATGACGTCAATAAAAGAGCAGTAACATAAATAATGCACAATTGATTGATCAGCTTATGTCTAAACCAAGTAACGAGAGGTATTTCTCGAGAAGAAATCGAAAAAATATGTTTCACATCTAAGAAATGAGGCAACTACAAAAGTCCATATCAAATTTCATGCTCTGTTTACCCGCTCTGCCCATTCATTATTAGACACCACTTTACCCACTGACAACATACCATAGTGCTATAAAAACGCCATAAAGCTCGTTACACCCTGTCCAAGCCTTCCCAGCCTTCCATGCCACCGTTCGCCCTTCTGTCCCTGGTCTAGCCCCGCTCTCGGTCTCACCTCGGCTCAGTCTCAAAGTTGATGGGTACGCCGTCGGCCAGCCAGTCAATGCTCAGCTCCAGGGTCGGGTCGACAGTGGCAGTGCACCGGAACGTGGCGGAGTTGCCAGCCACCACCTGGTAGTCCTCCGGGCCCTGTGTGATCTTGGTCGGCTCTGCGCGGTAGAAAGAGACCCAGACGCACAAAGAGGGGGGGGGGGGGGGTGTCAGTGGTTTGATGGGACCAGTGAGACGAAGATGAAATCGGGACAGATAACAAGCGGTGTAATACAGCTTACTCGATGTGTTTTGAAGAAAAATTTTAGTTTTCAAATCAACCCGTATGAGGAGATTCATTTCAGCTACAAAATCTGGAAACACCGAACTTTTGTTTACAAAAAAAAAACCTTTGGGGCACTATATCACATCCAAACTGAGAGTCGGAAACCTAATCACAGACCCAAACAGACGGGCAGGCGGCAGCCGCGGTAACCAGCCCCGTTTAACCCCACCCCTCTGCACATCACAAGCCCGCCTAGGCTTGGGTCTGACCGTGCTAAGCCGGGACAGTCTGTTTGGGCCTGACGCACCTTTCACGACGAGCGTTCCCTCTGCCTGGTCGCTGCCCAGTCGGCTGGTGGCCAGACACATGTAGGTACCGGCGTCCGACGAGGAGACGCGCCTGTGGACGGGGGCAGCGTGAGCACCGGGCTATCCAGGAAGTCAGGACGTCGGAGTCGAGGGAGGAGAGAATAACGGCAGCAGCATATAATGAAATCGGGACAGACAAGACATGGAAAATGTCAAGGCAGTCGAAACGGATTCACTCGGGAGGAGCCTTAGCTTCTATTTCACTTGGCGCATGAAATGGATATCACATTAATGTGAGCGTTCTGAAACTGCTGCAAGTAGGAAAGGCCTGCGTATTCCCAGCATGATGAAAAGGAGCAGTTATTGGCACACACAAAAAAGAGATAAAAACTACCGTACACTAAATCCAACTAAGAAATGAATCCTCGCAATGACCAAGCCGCAGCGTGTAACTTTAAAAGAACTAACTGTTCTAAAAAAAGTAAACGCGTATCACTTGACACGACCCGCCCAATCTACCTGCCTCCTCACCATTCCCGCCCGTCCACTGTCTCCACCCCGCCCATACTCACTTGATGGTGAGCGTGCCGTCTGGAGCGGTCTGGAACCGTCCCCCTGTCCTCTCGTCACCGTCCTCCCCTCCGTAGAGCCACTTCACCTCCGGGAGAGGCGCGCCGAACACCTCACACACCATCTCCACGTCCGTGCCCTGCACCGTGGCCACGTCCTGCGGCCGCTTCACGATCTCCGGCGGCAGCTCCAACACGTTCACGTACACGTCCTTGTAGACATAGCCGTTGTTGTTGGTGGCGTTGCAGCCGTAGTTGCCCGTGTCCGACTTGCGCAGGTCGCGGATGGTGATCTTGTTGGGGGTGGCGATGCGGCGCGGGTTGGGCTCGGCCTCGCTCAGCGGCAGGCCGTTGTGCGTCCACTTGATGTCCGGTTTGGGCACGGCGACGGCGTCACACTCGAACACCACCGTCTCGCCCTCGGCAGCGTTCTTCACCTCGGGCTCTTTGGTGAACTCGGGCACGGACTCGAGGCGCAGTTTGAAGGAGCGTGTCTGCGCCGTGCCCACGCCGTTACTGGACGTGCACACGTACTCGCCCTCGTCACTAAAGTCCACATTCCGGATCACCAGCGACTTTCCGAAGTTGTTCATCTTGATGCGTCCGTCGCTAAGGTCTAGCGGCCCGTTGGATTTTTGCCACTGGGTGCGTGGCAGCGGCCTGCCGAGAAGGTTGGATCAGTGTGAGATCGAACGATCTAGCGCCTCGGGAAAACAGCACAAGATGTGCCTGAGTGACTTGACCAAGACGAGCTAAGCATGATCAAAAAGTTAACTCTGGGCTGGATGAAACCGGTATTTCCCTTAACTCTACGCGGCCTGTGTCTACTCATTCATTCTCGCTGCATCTTACTATTTAAACACCACCCTGACATTGGCTACTCCCTCCCGCCTCAGAACCCAGCACCGCCCCACGCTCTCCTACTCACGTTCCGCCGTAGATACACCAGATCTCGACTGTGCTGCCCTTGATGGCTGCGATGTTCTTGGGCGATACGTACTGCTCCGTCGGCTGCCGCTTGTTCTTGGAGCTGACGCTGCCCGTGCGCAGCACGTTCAGACTCACGCGGTTACCGACTTTGTACTCGCTCCTGGTGAACACAGGCGTCCAGGGAGGGTCAGCGCTCCGCGCAAGGACAGCGTCTGAACGGGGACCAGCGGGAGGTTATATAACAACTAGGGGCAGAGAGACACTGCTGATGAAATCTGCAGTCGCGAGGAAAGCATGAACACAGTCACAATTCATTTTAGGGTTATAGAAAATAGCATCAAACATGTAAAACACGCAATTTTAATCGCATATGATAGCTTGATAGCTTAGCTTGCTTGATGTAGCTTGATAATAGCTTGATACTGAATAATGGCAAAGTCCCGGTTGCGGACGCTAACATGTGCAGTTAAGAGTGCAAGGGAGGGACTGTCTCCAAAAGGGGTGCTGATTTCGCTGACAGGGGCTGCTGATGTCGCCAACAGGGGCTGCTGATGTCACCAACAGTATTGCCGCTGACAGGGCCTGATGTCGCCGACAGGAGTGCTGATGTCGCCGACAGGGAGTGCTGATGTCGCTAGGGCGCTGACCGGCGGGGCGGAATGGCTCACCGGAAGGGTGACGTGGCCGAGCAGGCGTAGACGAAGCCCTCGCTGGCGTCCTTCAGGGTCACGTTGCTGAACCACAGGTTTCCGAAAGGGTCCACCGTCTTCCGAGAGGAGTTGATGCTCGACAGAGAGCCGCCGTCACCCTGTGGCGGATCACGGTCCGGTTAGTGAGGTCGGGGCGCACCAAGATCAGGTAGGTACAGCAACATCAGGTCAGAGTCAGACCAGTGGCAGAGAGAAGAGAGGGAGGGAGAGAGAGAGAGAGAGAGAGAGAGAGAGAGAGAGAGAGAGAGAGAGAGAGAGAGAGAGAGAGAGAGAGAGAGAGAGAGAGAGAGAGGCGGGCGAGGTCCGTGTCAAAGTCGGGTAAGTGAGATAGCGGTGGATCAAAGCCAGTAAACAACAGTTCGAGCGCAGTCATCCCAAATCTCACTCAAACGTCCCTCATGCCCTCCGACAGGCCTCCGCCGTTCTCCGGGACTCTCTCTGCCCTCACCTGGTACATCCAGTGCACCAGGGGCGCCGGGTAGCCCTCCGGCGGCTCGCAGTTGAGCACTATCGGCTCTCCCTCGTTAGCTGACATGGTGACCGGTGGCGCCACCTTGAACGAGTTCAGGTCCGACTTCCGGACGTGCACGGAGTTGGACGTAGCCGTGCCGTGCTCGTTGGTCGCTTTGCACTGGTACGCTCCTGGCGGGAGGGGGGGGGGGGTCAGTTAGCCATGCTCGTTGGTCTTGATCGTGAAGATATCATTCACAACAATCACTCACACCACCACCCTGGCAAAAAAAAAAAAAACGCCCACTTTCTAACGTAAATTATGGGTAGCTTATTTCAGTATAGACATTAGACACAGCACACATCATTCAAGAAACACTTAATACTGTTGGCATTTGTCTGTGCCATTCCTGTTCTTTATATTGAACCAAGCTATGGTCTCTTTATGATCCGTTTTCAACAGACTTTCCTTAACTTCTACTCTGCTACAATGAAGAGATCTTGTCAACACAAGGTCTAATGTATTTCCACGCCTAGTTGGCTTGTCGACCCATTGCTTTAAATGCATTCCGTTAAAGTTCTTTAGGAAGCCCTTCGCTCTTCCTGTCCGTCTACGCAAAGTCGGTGATGTAGCGTAACCTGTCTTCTTCCAATCTATTTCTGGTATGTTGAAGTCCCCCACTATTACCAGAGGGCCGTTCACAGTACTCAACGCTTCCATTATTTTGGCCAAGGCGTCGTTATTTTTCGGAGGCCGATAGCATATCGCTACGGTTACCGATAACTTATCGAGGTGAATCAGTAATACCTCGACACCAGCCGGATCCCTCAGCCGGATGGGTACCAGTGAGTTGCGCACGGCACACGCCACGCCGCCGCCGCGGCTTCCACGGTCGCGGCGGAACCACGTATGGTCGGGGAACGCTGCCTGTAGCTCCGAGTCCGCCACTTTGTCGGTGAGCCAAGTCTCCGATAATCCAAAGACATGATATTTCTCGTACCGTGGAGCGAGGGACCGCAGATGCGCTAGCTGTTTGTTAATACTGTTGGCGTTGCAGTGATACACAGAGAATTGTATGTAACCAGGCATAGTGGCGTGACGTGTCTGCAAGTTCAGCATATGCGTCATGTTTTATTATAGTCTCTACTAGGGTTACCCGCGTGCTCCGCAACGCGAAGGGGGATTTTTTGACCCGTGGGTATTGGGTTGGTCTGTGTCGATTTGGTTGGTAGATATCCATTTCGTTCGATTGCTTTTTGACGGCCAAGCATTTTGTAAGAAAACAAAAAGATACATCGCATCGAGGTGCCCGTGTCGTATTATCATGCGTTCTACTTTAGAATGATTCGAAAACTGGCGTGAAGTCTTTTGAGGGCCATCGATGAATTTCGCTAAAAATGACAATGTAATGGTTTGGAACATTTACATTTTTAAGGATACTGTTGCTAATCATGCAAAAATGAAGAGTGAATATTGGACAGAATTGAATGCTCTATCCAATGATACCATATTCAATTGCCAAAGGTATCAGGTTATGCAGCAAACCCCGTGTGATTAATAAAGTGGCACAAAATTGACAAACACCATTTTCTCCTGTGATTTGCACCACCTTGATTTGGATCAATCAGCTTTTCACAATTTTTATATGAGAGGCGGTACCTTTCTCTTGCAAATAGGCGTTGATTTAACTCGCTCCATTTAACGGTCACCTAAAAATAAAATCAATTCCAAAATCCCTCAAAAACCGCAATTTTTCAAATAAAAGTGCCCTCTCCGGTGCACGTGGCGCGTGCTATCCTCTGCATTGCACACCATTCAATAGCCCGTTCAATTCTGTACACGATGCTGTTTTCCCCGTGCCGGTCGGACCCCTGGTCACCAAGATATTGCACGGGAACTGGACCCGTGTCGGCCAAAATTAGCCGTTTTCGCCCGATTTCGCACGCCGATTTATACATGTAAAGTCTATGACGCGAATTTGCACTTTTTGAGCACGCGCCACGCGCTCCCTATCAATCCGATCGAGTTGAGACCCCTCAAAGGCACGTCGCGCATCCTTGATCTATAAGTTGTGCAAGTTTCACCGCGCTAGGTGCAACGCTCTGGCCTGTAGTCCACGCAAAGCACCACCAAGTCGGGACCTCGGTAACGGACAGACGCACCCTCCTCAAATAGTAATATAGATTTATTCATAACCATGCATAACTTCCGACTTTAAGTATCGTTATTTTTACGCGTGGTGTCGTATATGCAAAGTTCAGCATATGCGTCATGTTTTATTATAGTCTCTATTTATTTATAACCAGGCATAACTTCCGACTTTTAGCATCGTTATTTTTAAGCGTGGTGTCGTATATGCAAAGTTCAGCATATGTGCCATGTTTTATTATAGTATCTATTTATTCATAACATGCATACCTTCCGACTTTTAGCATCGTTATTTTTACGCGTGGTGTCGTATATGCAGTACATGCAATTCTATGTTTGGCCCTTCTTGGTTGACTGCGGGGTGTTGTGGCACTTCCAAATTCTGTCCTGATGTTGTATGCTCCGCAACTTCAACTCGATTCCTCCGACAGCCCTTTGTTGTATGGAAGGGACACTGTTGCCATTGGTTTATCCCGTGGATGTTGATGGGAAACTTCTCCACGCCGGGTTGATCGTTCTTTCTGGCAGTACATTGTCACATTACAGTGCTGTTTCTTGCTATGCCCAGAGGGCACATTGTCAGTGGGCACATTGGGGAACAGACTCACCACAGCGAAGCTTGCCATCTGTGAGTTTGGTGATGGTCACAAGGCCCAATCATGGGTTGATGATAGTGACGCGAAACTAACTAGGGGAGGAGACAGGAAACTCATCAATGGCAGCTTACTAGAGCTTGTATATCTTTAACCCCGAGTACATATGGAGGCATGCTGTGCTTTTGGTTCCGTTTTTGTTGTCCATGAGATGTCCCCCGTTCCTTTTCCTCTTTGGGAGAGTTGCTAGTTTGTTTTCACAAGCCGGATTTGGGCCTTTCTTCAATTTGGTGTACGCTCTATCACAAGTTTGTTCATATATCCTTTCTTGCCCATGGCAGCGATAGTGTAATCCTCTTCTGCTGGGAGCAGGACTGTTCTATTATCCTGTTTGAAATTCTTCATACCAACTTCCTCTTCAGTGGTTTCGACTAATTTTCGGCACTGTACTTCTTTCTGCCTGCCGCTGTCAATGACAGCTTTTCTTCAATGCCCTTCATTTTTTTTCTTGCACCATACATGGTCTTCCCTGGTTTCACTTATTCGGTTGAAGTCGCGACACACTTTTTGAGGTTGAATATCACAACAGAGGAATGCGTTGGAGCTGCTTCTGCTATTGTACTTTCAGATTCCGGCACCATCGGCTTCGGCATATTGATGCAATCTGCTTCCTAGATGCCAAATTGGTCAACAACAAGATTCGAACCAGCAACCTTCCATATCCACCGCGGGCGCCCTAACCAACTACGCTACAAAACCCACCCTCTCCAACAATATAAAAGAGAACGTAGTTCACACCGTGCGTCACCGACGCCTGATAGGGTCGGGGCGAGTTGCGTGACGTCACGGCTAAGTACCTACACGAACCCTATCAACAAGATAGGTATTTTGAGCACCTATTGATTGCTGAAGTAGATCACAGATGAAGTCACGTCGAAGTTCAAAACTGAGAGCCCCTACATTAAGGACTTCGGAGCCCAATCGCCGAGCAATTGACAGAGAAGTGAGATTGATGACACAGAGTCTGAGCAACCAAAACGAGCTGCATCTGACTTCTGAGAATATCTACATTTGTCAATGGCAGCTGCCCCGTATCGTTCGTCTTCACTGCGGCGGACATGTACACCTTTTGACATCTGTGAAAGGCTACAGAGCTGTGTGTGGAGCGTCTACCTGTGCCTTGAGGAGTTTATCAGCGATTGTGTCTGGCAAAATGTGTACTGGTGAGTGCCCACTTCGTGTCCGATAGCTTGTTGATACCGTGGGGCCGCGGGGCGGCATGCAGTGGTCTGAGCTCTCTCACCTATGTCCTCGTCGCTAGGTGAGGTGATCACCAGGGTACCCCGGTCGGGCTGTTTCGACATCCGCTTGTCGTACACCTGCCAGTGGAACGGCTTGCCGTTCTTGAACCAGGAGAACCTGCCGCAGACAGACAGACACACGTGGGTCAGACATCCGGGCCGATCAGGCAGAGACGATAGTGCAGCGGCCAGATAGCTGCACCATATCGATGGCAGTGGTGTATTGTAGCTCAACACGTGACGTTTCGGGAATATGTCCAGTAGTGAGATGGTGCAGTACTGCCGTGGTAATGGAAGCGGTAAGGAAGAAGAGAGGCGACAAAGCGACCGACACAATCACATGATATGATATGGCATTTGGCACTTGCATGACAATATTGGGAATCTGTATGGAGCAAGCATAAGCGTGACTGCCGTACTGGAATGTATGAGCGCTAGATGTGTACACAGAAACGATGCCTGGTACCGTGGTGATAACGAATGAGATGTAAACATTGCACAAGCAAGTGAAATGTTTACCATCTGTATCAGGTCCAATCATGGGACCTAATATGCGTTAGCCCATATTGGTGGCCAGCACAGAGGTCCGTTGGCACAAGTGGCAATTATCAGATTTTTGCAAATTGCCAATGGCCAACAAACACATCAGAAAACAATATTAGAGGACACTATCTACCCAATCTATCATCGAGTGTCCACCCTCCTGCACATTGACCTCCTGCATTTCAACTCGATTCTTTTTCACACCTCCAGCCGTCCCCACTCGCTCATGGGTGGCTCCGCGGCGCTGCAGTAGCGCCTCCTCACACAGGACACGCTCTCACGGGACAGGCGCTCGCAGGCGACACCTCTCACATTGGGCACGCTCTCACAAGGACGGACGTCCGCCTCACCCACAGCTTCAGCCGGGCCATCGTTCACCGGTGCCCTGTCAGCCCTTCAGAGCGAGCCCACAGCCTATTCCAGTCTCTCTAGCTCCACCCTTCGTCGCGACTCGGAACAGTTTTCTGTCCATCGGCGGCTTGGAGCTACACTAGCGCCCCTGGCGGCTGAGACACCAGCGCCCCTGGCGGCGGCGGCGGCGCTCAGCCGCTGGGACTGTGATGGATGATGAGACATGAGAGAAGCCGCTCGATGCCGACGGCCGCCGCCACAGACTCCTTCTCGTCCCAGGTTCCCTGACGATCCTATTCCACTCGCCGTCGTCCACCTCGCTCTCCGACGGACTGTCGGATAGCGTGCTGTATGTGCCCGCGCGGTCCGATACCCACGGCGTGGAGGATGTCGGCGAGCGGCATGATACCCATTACCCGCCGCTCGCCGCCAGTCACCACCAGTCGATCTTAAAAGTACCGCGCATCGGTGCGGCGGTGCCAGCAAGCTCGACCGAGGGAGGACTCATATGAGGATGAGGATGTTATCGAAGGAGAAGGGGTGAGGGCCGAAACAACTTAAAAGGGACCCTCCCACCTTAAAGGTAGTGTGCCAGCTTTCTTGGACCGTATGGAGTTAATGGCCCAGATAAGGAGAACCGGATTTTTAGAACTTATCCATACCTTCAAAACTCATGGAAACGTCTTAAATTCTTCAAATTTTGAGTACCCCAGTGCGAAATTCGCCCCGACGGGTTGTCGGTCGTACCCCAACCACATTTCACACCACTATGAACAATAATGCACACACTGAAATCGCTATTACCGATATGCTCATCCAATCAAGTTTCGATAAACCCGTTCATCATCAGTTCCTGCGGTTTCGAACACGCCTGTTAGGTGGTGCGGTAGACCACGCCCAAATCCAGGGCCCCGGTAACGTGATGTAGCCGAGTCAGGGCAGCGTGCGCTGACCCAAGCCGGAGCCGCGCGTCCTCCCGGTGTCATGTGATAGCCCGCGGGGATGCGGTAGACCGCGCCCAAAGCTGCGGCCCCGGCTTGGGTCAGCGCACGCTGCCTCGACTCGGCTACCTCACGTTACCGGGGCCCTGGCTTTGGGCGCGGCTTCTGCTCATACTTTGTGGTGCGGTGGTGGTGCGTCGGGCTGCGCGCTCTGACTTCGGCCAAGAAAAATGCGTCAGCTGATCATTGTCATTTCTGCCACTTGCGTGTGGTGAAATGGGGTCATAACTTATAAGACGGCTTTTTCATATCAATTATTTTACATAAAATCATATTTCAAACCATAAATAATGTTTGACAGCTAAATAAAAGAAACAATACCAATACGGGCTTACAGTTTAAGGCTCGATATTGTGTTGTCTACGATTAGACAGCTGATAACTCATTCCCGTACGTCATATGGTCGTAACACTATAATGACCTTTGCTTATTGTCACAAGTGCGCCGCATTCGCAATTGTTGCCCGACGCCTGTTTGCAGGTGAGCCCACTACAGTTGTTATACATATCTAAAAACCGATAAACTTTTAGGCGAAAAAGGCACTATTCCAGGCCCATTTTTGATTTTTTTGGCGATATTAGGTAAAAACAGAAGCTTCTTATCCTAGGAAAAATAAAATGGGAAATCTTTCAAAGGTGGCACACTACCTTTAACATTAGTTTTGAGTTGAGATAGCCAAGTTTGCGGCCAGGCTCAGAAACCACCATTTATCCTGGTCGCAACCCCCGCAGCTTTATGGTGTTCAAGAAATTTCTTCCCTTTACTTGCAGGGTGGGACCAGCGTGGTCCCTATCTCTTAACCATTACGGGAATCTGATGACGTCATCAGGCTTTCCAACGTCCGTTTAATGTTTGACTAAAACGTTTTGTAGCACGCGGGGTATATGCTGCTTAACGCGCAACAAATGCCGCACTTTCAAATAAAGTCGCTAGGAACAGCGGAGATCCCAAAAAGTAAACAAAAGTAAAAGTCTAATATCTTGAAAACCGGTGAATATTTTTCGATGAAATTTGGTAGATATTCGTTTTTGCTCTTTTTGAACTGAGCGACATCACTTTCATGCCAATTCATTAACTTTTTTGAAGGTGGGAGGGTCCCTTTAACCCTCGCCGGCCGAGGGGGGGGGGTGCCGCCCCCCATAGGGTTTTTTCGCGATAGCTCCGAACACGCTGGCGATAGAGAGCTGAAACTTGGCATACCTGACCTTTGATCCAAGCCGCATCTTTTGACGCCAACCGCATTTTTGGGTCAGGTCAGGTCACTGACCTATGACGTCATAAGTGAACCTCTGCACGGTCTTCAGATGTCGCAACTTCGCAACGCCCTCACTGCCAGCTAGGAGATGTCACAGGGAAATGAAACTTGCAGGATCTAGTATCCATTATGAGTCCCACAATTTGTATATCTCGGATTTTTCCTAAAGGTCATATGATCAGGTCATTTTCGTGACCTCACCATTATAAGTCAATGGGGAAAAATGAAAGCTGCTATTCTGGCGCCGGGAACGATCTCCAACTATCTCAAGCACACAGAATCGTGATTTGATGCACTCCTTGCAAGGTTAGATGCGTCACTTTTGCAATGTTGACCTTGCGTGACGTCATTTATGACGTCATCAAGGTCATATTAGTTTTTCGTCAATAACTCTTGATCAAATTGAGCTAGCGAGTCGGGAAAGCCACCAATGGACTCAGGAAGACCTGCCAAATCGAATGATATGCGACATGGCCCCTTTCGACCAACTTCGTGACCTGGGGGTGCTGACCTGACCTTGACCTGAGGTCAACACCCCAAGTTGACCTGACCCGGACAAAAAGTATATCATTCGACGCGCCTGAGCGAGACGAACACGATGCTGCCAAAATCGGCGCTCTGCGGCCGTTTTTTTGCAAAGTTATTCACCAAAAACTGAACCGTACCTTGGGGCACTTGACCTGACCTCAGAGGTCACCGGTTGACCTAGGACCTTAAAATCGGGTACCAATCTCTGCGTCTCGTAACGGCGCACACGCTCGTTTTTTCCGCGACGCGCTAGCTCCACCAGGGGCGAAACGGCGAGGGGGGGTCGTACCCGTCCCCCCCCCCTCGGCCGGCGCGTATGTAGAAAACCAATAGGTCCGGCGAGGGTTAACCGTTGGTTCGCCGGTACTTCATTTCCCCGTGTAGCGATACTTTGAAAAGAGACTGTAACTTCTTTCCAGCGCGCATGATCTTGTCTAGCATTAAGGACTGTAGTTACTACTTGCTTCATCGTCAAAGTCCGGGTCGCAAAAAAATACGGTACACTAAACAGTGCATCATCAAACGGAACGATATCATGCCCGAAGCTATCCGGCGTCAAAGGCGGACACCGTGGACGAACATGAGCAAGAAGATGACAACACGACCGCTGACCAGCCAACTTACCGGAAAAAAAAACAGCTAAGGAGACAGTGCTTGGTTAATTCCAACATCAATACCAACAAGTCTCTATCAACAAGTCACGGCATGGACTAGCAAAACACAACACGCTTGTCGATCTGATAGAAACTCAGTTGGTATAATACCGACCCTCATCAGCACGAAGGCAAGGGCGGCGCCTTAGTCAGCGGCCCAGCAGTGTGGATATTCCAGGAGCCGGGCCAGGCTGACGCCGGCTGCGGTCGCGGCAACCGGTGAGCTCGGTCAGTGTCCCAGCCGAGTACCTACCGCAGGCACGGCCGGATATTGGTTACACCACTCTGTGTGTACGGACGAGCCGGGCGGCCCGGGCCCAGAGGCGGCTCAACAATGACTCAGGCGGCGCCGCACCACCCCCTCAGAGGGAGTTCCAAACTCGCGGCCGCATGTATAATATTATCACCGAGGAATGCCGTGGGGCCGTCGGGAGGCCCAGTGTTGCGCAACACAATGGCCGGAGTAGCACTGACCGCTGACCG